ACACACACACACACACAGACAGTATATTCTGTGACTTGAATTATTCAAATTATGTAGCCAATGCAAAAGGTGGGATGCTTTGTACGCTATCATATATAGCTTGCCATCAGGGTGTGGTGGGTTTCAGCCAAAAGCAAGGTTAGTTGCAAGTAATGCAGCAATTATTTTTATCTGGAGGAGCTTTGGGATGGCTGTAGCTCAGAAGCAACTAAGGGGTGTTTTAATTATGTGATGTGTGATACTGTTTTAGATTAATGAACAAGTTGCTGGCAACAGTTCTGCATCTAAATCAGTTGGAGTTAAGATTCCTACCTGCAAGATAAAGTTGAAGGATATTTTCCTGACATCCCCAGAGGATCTCTACAGAGTATTCATTACCCAAGAGGTAAGTTAATTCTGAACTTTCTGCAGATGTTTTGTGCCATTTCTTGCTCAATATATAGGCTTTTTGTATGGTTTGCCATCAATGGCCTTCTCCTTCTCGGGTATCCTACTTAACTGTTACAGTCAGAGAGCAGTAATCAACTTGTTATAGCAGAAATGCCTTCAGAATATTCCAAGGAAAAGAGTTAGCATTATATTGTCTCAGAATTAAATGATCCTGATTTCAAGCATCCTTTCCCGGATTTGAAAATACCATGAGAAATGAGAGGAGCTACTATTTCTTCATCCATGAAACTGCTCTAATCTTTAAAAGAGTCAGTGAGAGGCAGTAGATGAATCTTTTACCTGGAAGCTAGAAAATCTAATAATAGATTGGATTTTATTTTCGTAGATGGTGCAAGCTTTTACTCACGCATCTGCTGTTGTGGAGGCTGATAAAGGAGGAAAATTCCAACTGTTAAATGGGAGCGTCACTGGCGAGTTCATTGAACTAGTAAGTTCACTAGTAGTAAAGGGTCCTTTGTATGTCATTTGGAAGATGGGCAGTGCCTTTTCTTTGGACAGTTATTTCCCTGCCCACATGATCTCACCAAGTGTGTAAATTGTATGAATGAAGGCTAGTGCACGTATATTCAATTGATTAGGTAACGGTAAAGATTTCCTGTCCAGTTGTGTCTAACTCTAGGGCACAGTGCTCATCTCTGTTTCTTGGCTTAGAGAGCCAGCCTTATCCAAAAACATTTTCCATGGTCATGTGGCCAAAATGGGATGCTGATACCCTCCCACTAAAGTGGTACCTATTAATCTACTTGCATTTGCATGCCTTCGAACTGCTAGATGGGCAGGAGCTGGGCCAAGTGACGGGAGGTCACACTTGCACGGAACCTGAATCTTGAATCCAGGCCTGTCAGCTCTCTAGCTGACAAGCTCAGTGCTTTTGATCGCTGAGCCATTGTGTCCCTTGTTAAATAATTAGCATATC